TGCATTTCAGGTTTTCTTTTCTAGTTCTGGTAGCATGTGAGTTGCTACTATGTCCTGGCCTGCAGTCCTATGGGTAGGGGATAGGACAGGGGAAAGACCTTGTTGTCAATCTCGCTTCAGTTCTAAGGCAGACCCTTGCTCTGAATTTGGCCCGCGGAGCCTGCCTGCCTGCTGGAGAGCTCCACCTGGGTATTCTTGCATTAGTGAGTCCCGAAGGGAATCTCTTCTGTCCACCTCGACCTCCTCTACCTTCTGGAAGTGTATCTGGGGGCACAACAGTCTACCCAGAGAATATCAGTTCCTGAGATGTGAACTTTCTTTACACATGTCTTTTGATAGTGATGTTTTCTCTAATAATTCCTTTAGATTGTTATAATCTTAATCACACCATAAATATTGAGCAGTTACTACGGGACACAACCCCTTCTAGGCGCGAGGCGTCGAAGATGAAAAGAAAACAGACAACGCCTTGACCTTTGGAGGATGCGAGAGGTGGGCGGGTGAAACAGGAAATAATAAATTTGGGGTTCAGGTTGCTACTTCAGGCAAACTGAAAAGTTCAACCTATGACTTGAAGGTGGAGTCTGGAAACAGCCCCCAAGATGGTGATGTGACAGTCTTGGGAGACAGGACAGCTGGACAGGCCAGATCAGCCTCATGCCCGGTGTGGTAGCCCTTGTGGCAGCTGGCAGTAGGGAAACCATTTTTGGGTGCCTCATAAAGAAGTCTGAACTGTACATTGTATTTTAGGCACAGTGGGAATTCACTGAACACTCTTAGGGAGAGAGAAAACAAGTACAACTTAAGGTTTTTAAGGCACAGATTGTAGCGGGGACAGAGACGGAAGCAGAGAGGTCAGCTGGGACTGCTGCGGTGGCTGCATGAAACCAGTTCATGGTGGGGCTGGGCTGACGCCAGTGCAGAGAAGGGAAACCGGATGGATCTGAAGTAGAAGGTAAATTGTCTTCACGCCCAACCTTGTGACACACACTTAATTGATCTGCTAGAGTTCTCTGTCCTTTCTATAAAATGTGCCAAGAACCGGAGTACCCTGGGTGCTCAAGGCTTCTGCACTTTTCTGACCCACAAGAGATGGATGATTACCAACAATCAGTTGTTTCCAAATCTGTGAATACCAGCTAAGTTTAAAATTAAATTTTAAAGAATTTATAGTACTATGAAGTGACAATGTAGGAATACAAAACATCTCTTCAATGAAAAACTAAGTCAAGGAATTTTTAAAGACTTGGTAAAATTACAGGCAAGTTGGCAGTACAAAAGTGCAGAGGGACAAAAAAAAGAAGTGAGCCTTTCTGTCACAGATGTCACACTGCAGACTCAAAGCTGATAGCAAGAATATTCCCTAGGGGTATGGTTTACCAAAAGATGAAACTCCTTAGTGGAAATACTCAAAGAAAGACCTTGGACTTTTAGCAGAACATTAGCAATACAACACATACACATGCACACTAAACTAAAATACGACGTGTAAGGTATCAGGATTGTTCTTTTCCTAATTCATCACGGTGGGTGAGCGAGCTTTTGCTCCATTCCAGCTAGAACTGGTATGATGGGTGACAAGGGAGGTACAGCACAGGGTAATGACGAAGACCGCCACCTGCACAGGTGAAGTTCACCCTGCACTTCACGCTCTTCCACTCTGTTCTTAAGGAGTCAAGTGTAGACTTGTCCTTTTTGTTCATCTTTGCTGTCATGTCTGGCTTTCACCATGCATAACCCTACCACGTTCACCACAGCACAGTCATGTATATGGTAAGTGAAAGAGTCTAAGAGTTCAGGAGTCTTTGATATACTGAACCAACATTTCTCTACCCTTTAGCTTACAAGAGAAATGTTTCTCCTTTTGCTCTGCTAATAAAATGTAAATTTTGTTCCAGATGGATGCTCATTTTTCTATACAGACCAGCCTATATAAGACTATCACTTCGAACTCCGAGAACATGCATCTCTTAGTAATTCTTACAACTCAGGCCCAACACAGAGTGAGGGTTATTTATTGAGTGAATTGATGAAAGAATAGGCTACGTGAATTGGGAGCTATCTGTGCGAACACTTAATGACACTGCAGCCATATGCTATGGGCACAAAGTGCATGTACTTGCAAACCCTCTCATTCATATGTTGAACGTAACCCTTACAACATTGTCCTATTTGGAGACGGGGTCTCTAAGGAAGTAATTAAGGTTAAATGAGGTCATAATGTGGAGGCCTTGATCTGACATGGTCTCCTCATATGAAGAGATGTCAGATGCGCATTCAAAACTCACAGACGAGGTCATCTGCACAGAAGCTGATGGTGCTGCCTACGAGCCAGAACAAACGGCCTCTCAGTGAAATCCACCCTGCTGGCACCTTGATCTGAAATTTCCAGCCTCCAGGCCTTTAATAAAATTTCTGTGGTTTAAGCCACTCAAGTCTCCATTTAGTCTGTGACATTTTATAGTAACAGTTCAAGCAGACTGATACATGTGTGTGTATAGAAAAATTGTTTTCCATTCTGTACATATTTCATTTTCTAGAAGTCTTAGAAGGGACTTTTGATTTGTCTAATAGATGTTCTTTACTTTAGCTTTCAAGAAAAGGTTTTCCTTAACTTTTTCCCTGAGACAAAATGTACAGCATCATTAATAGTCAGAAAATCTTTTTGTTGAAAAGTTTTTCCTACTTGAATTTACAATTCACAAACTGAACACAAAATAGTTTTTATCTTGGTATAATTAACCACAAGCCCAGCAGTTTCAGGAGTGGCTGGAGACCAAGACTCTTGTTCTTCCCTGTTGGTCACTTCGTTTTGTAAAATGGCTGGTCGAATCGAGGAAGAGAGGCTGTTTCTGCGACACCATCATCTCTGTGAGAAAAGATCTCCCAGGACCTCCCCACTCCTGTTTCTCTCCTCAGCACAGCAGTGACACAGACTCACATCTAAGTCTAGGAGCAGCTCAGAAGACAGCTTTTCCAGGTCCTCTCATGGTGGTGGTTAAGGCAGAAAAGGGATTCGCATAAAGATTTGGTCAGCCAATGAAGAGTGCCAGCTGTTCAAAGGAACCGGAAGTGTAGACTGGCAGATGGACTAGTTCTGGACAGAATCCTTCAGCTAGACTTGGTCACTCCATGGAAGGGTTTCATGCATCACCCTTCAGTGAAGGACTCTGGCTATGATGTGACTAATGCTAATACCAGTTTGATTACAATTAGACCGTAAACATTAAGGTTAATACTCTCATCCGTATCTACTATCATAAAGCACCCACTACCTTTCCCTTACTTAACATGATATACCTGCTGCACTGTGTTGTGTCAAGACAGTGCTCTTTCCTGTGGATGAAGATAAGATAGTGGCAAGTGAGGTAGGCTCTAAGCTGAGACTGATTGAAGCCATAGTCATGATTTTACTCCATAATTGTTACCTGGCAAAAAAGCTACCTGTAGCTTCACACATGCTAATGTATCTAAATTTGCATTTCATGTTCACTGATGATCTTCAAAAATGCAAAGGTAATTTAGTATTTGTAATCACTGATGCTATTTAGTGGTAGTGGTAATAGTGCCAGGTCAATGACAGACTATGACAAGTTCTTACTAAGTATAGCCTAAAATGTCATTCAATTATATCAGAATAGGGCCGGCCAGATAGCTCAGCGGACTAAAGCACCTACTTAGGCAGAGTGCAGCGGCCAGGATTCCATCCCTGACGTGCTGTGCCGAGCCGGCAGTGACCCTGGGGCATGCTGAGATGGCGACTGAGACTGGGCATGGTGGCGTGCACCTGTAATCCCAGTACTTAAGAGGCTGAAAACAGGAGAATCACTACAAGTCCAATCTGTGTAGTGAGACCCTGTAGACCCGGTACTAAATACAAAAATCAATCAATCAATCAATCAATCAATCAATCAAAATAAAGAGACATGCATTCTAATGGATTAATGTAAACAGAACAAATATTGGGGTCTAAGAAATAAGGTAAAAAATCCAGTAAGGTCATAACCATTACACAATCCTATATAGCAACCACTGGTGAATTACAATTTGGTTTACAGTGTTTAAAAACAATATAAAGAGTTTAAGAGAGTAACAGTCTTTAAGATTAAAAACAAATTAACTGGCCATGAAAAGAATGGGTTCTGTTGCTAGTGAGCCCGACAGCAACTTCCTCCTCAGGTCCTCACAAGGGGATCGCTGTGCTGCAGCACGCGTCGGTCTAAGAACACATGCACAGAAAATGTAATTTTATTTTATTTTATTTTTTTTTTT